CTCCCTCGGCGGTTCCTTGCATCACACGCCGGGCGCCCCACCCCGCCTCCCCTCCCCTTCCCTCAGGCCCCCGCCCACGCGTCACCCCGCGCTCCACCCCCAGCTCCACCCCCCCACCCACCACACCCACCCACCTTCTCCTCCCGCGTGTACCCCCCCAGCTGCACCACCTCCAGCCGGTCCAGCAGCGGCGCGGGGATGTCGGCGCCGCGGTTGGCTGTGGCCACAAAGAGGCAGGCGGAGAGGTCGAAGGGCAGGCCCAGGTATGTGTCCACAAACGCGGTGTTCTGCTCCGGGTCCAGCACCTGCGCAGGTGGGCAGGTGTGTGTGTGTGTGTGTGTGTGTGTGTGTGTGTGTATGAGAGGGAGAGAGAGAGAGAGTTGAGCATAATGCGAGTAATGCGAGCCTGGCGGGCCGGTGCGCTGGCAGGGGGCAAAAGAGGCGGTGGTGGCAGCGGTTGGAGCGAACGGGAGGCCAGGCGCAGAGGCAGGCAGCGGTGTGGGGGCGAGAGGAGCAGCCCCCGCAGCCGGGGCAAGGGGCAAAGGGCCGCACCTCAAGCAGCGCGGCGGCGGGGTCTCCCCGCGCCGCATCCCGCCCCATCTTGTCCACCTCATCCAGCAGCAGCAGCGGGTCGCGCACACCCGCCTTGCGCACAGCCTGGATCAGGCGGCCTGCAGGGGGCGGGCAGGAGAGGGGGGTGGCGGCAGGGAGAGGACGAGTGAGGGGTGTGCGGCGGAGGCGGGCGCGGCAGCTGGGCGCGTGGCAGGCAGGATCGTAGCACGCCTGCGCTGATACACGCAGCCCCGGCCCCCAGCCCCATGCCTGAGCCTGCCTGGCCCCCCAGCGCGGGTGGCAGGGAGCTAGCAAGCATGTGCGGCGGAGGCGGGAGGGTGCGCTGGGTGCGCGGGTTCGCTGGGGCGCGAGCGGCAGCCCCCGCCCCTGCCCGAGGCCTCCACCCCCTGCCCCGGCCCCCCTGCCCGGCTCCTGCACCGCCGCACCCGGCATGGCTCCGATGTAAGTGCGGCGGTGGCCCCGTATCTCCGCCTCATCCCGCACCCCGCCCAGGCTGATGCGCTGGAAAGGGCGCCCCAGCACCTCTGCAGGCAGGCGGGCAGGCAGGCAGGCAGGGGAGCAGGCAGGGGTGTGGCAGGGCAGGCGACACGTCGCTTTGTTTGGGGGGCAGGCAGCGGCAGCGGGCCACAGCGGCAGCACAGGGCCAGGCGTAGCGTCTGTCCGGCAGGCTGGGCGAGGCACAGCCAGGCCAAACAAAGTCGGAGTGGGGGTATGGGGACCGGCCAAATAAGCGGGCTTGTGCCAGCTGGCACGGGTCGGGCGCAGGCGGCCGGCGCCGCACCTGCGATGGAGCGAGCTAGCGAGGTCTTGCCCACGCCCGGCGGGCCGATGAAGCACAGGATGGGGGCCCGCGCATCCCAGCCCCTGCGCGGGTGCAGAGCGGGGACGCAACACCAGTTGACTGCAGCCTGCCAGGCCCGCAAGCAGGCAGGGGCGGGGCCCTGGGCAGGGCAGCGCAAACGCAGGCCCAGAACAGCAACAGAAAGCATGCCGGCTGTACCGCGGTCGCTGCGGTCGCTGTACCGCACCTGAGACGCTGTACCGCCACGTACTGCACGATACGCTCCTTCACTTTGTCCAGCCCATAGTGCGCCTCGTCCAGCCGCAGCCGCACCGCATCCAGCGGCAGCTGGCGCCGCACCCTGGCCGCCGCCGCCCCCGCCGCCGCCGCCGGCAGCGCCAGCGGCAGCTGCTGCGGCGTGGGCGGCAGCTGGCGCGGCGGCGGCGCCGGCGGCGCCTCCCCCGGCCGCAGCGCCAGCGGCAGCTGCTGCGGCGTGGGCGCCAGTGGCAGCTGCTCGCTGGGCACGGCCTCGCCGGCGGCGGGCGGCGGCGGCGCCGCCTGCTGCCCCGAGTGCCGGTTCCAAGGCAGGTCAGCCAGAGTCTCCAGGTAAGCCAGAGACATGTTGTAGCCTGCACCACCAACAACACCAGGCAGGTAAGCAGGCAGGCAGGCAGGCAGTGAGGCACGGTTCCGGCCATACCCAGGCACGCAGAGCAGAGCAGAGGCAGGCGGGCGAGCGGCGAGCGCCGGCCCTGCGGCCGCGGTGCCGGACCGGCGGCCTGCAGGGCTGCACAGCCGCAACAGCCACGCTGCCGCCTGCGGCGGCGCACCCGGGTGTTGGTCGCTGCCCCGCTGCAGTCGGCGGTACTCGCGCTGGGCTGCCCGCAGCACCTCGGGGGGAGGGTTGGCTTCCTGCACGCAAGGAAAGGCAGGCGTGCAGGAGGGTGCTGGCGCGGCGGAGGAGCGCGGGGAGGGCAGCGGGTTGCGGGTGTGCCCTGTTGCACTGCGCTCCACAATGCAGACGTGAGAAACAATGCAAAACCGTGCCGCAAAACTGTGCCGCAATACTGTGCTGCACCTGCGGGGTGCACCAGCGGGGTGCGCCC